CCTACTTGGTCTTTTATTATTTTTAGTATATATTTACGACTTACCTAACAGCATAAACTTTCCTATGACTCTATTTTTATATGATATCTCTATAAATAATTATGAAAATTAAATTAATAACAACCGGAACAATATAATTAGCTGGCTCAATAATAAACTTAACAAAGTCTCAAATAATTAATTCTATCAACGAAAATGGCCCCTTGATTTGCCTAACATTAATTACGATAGTAAGACTTTTAGTGAAACCAAAGTAACAAAATTCTTGGGTCTTTAAATTGATAATAACTTAAAGTGGGAGACTCATACAGAATATATTTGCAAAAAGTTAAATAAATGTTTTTGCGCTCTACATGTATTATCCAAAGTAGTAAATGAACACGCTTTACGGACGGCATATCACGGCTTCGTATCTTCTACTGTGCGCTATAGTGTAATTTTTTGGGGCAATGCTACAAGGTGCGAAGATATACTCGTATATAAGCTCAAAAATTGTGTGCGTGCTATTGCAAATATACCGAGTAAAGCTGTAAACCACAATTTAAAAAGTTAAAATTAATGACATTCCCCGCACTGTACTTTTTCGTTACGTTATTTACGTACATAAATTACTTCCCGTGGGTGGCAAAAAAGTTGACTAAATGAAAAGCCAGAAGAATCTCATTGGAATAACGAATATTATAGAATAGAATGGAATAGAATGGAATAGAATGGAATAGAATGGAATAGAATGGAATAGAATGGAATAGAATGGAATAGAATGGAATAGAATGGAATAGAATGCAATAGAATGGAATAGAATGGAATAGAATAGAATATTTTTATTAAATATAGATTACAAGTAATTATTGTTGAAAATAATTTTCAAGGCGGTAATAACCGTCGTAAATATGACAGGTAAATTAAATAAGTAAATCTGTGAACGAGGCAGTGATAACTGTGTGAGACGTTTGTTATTGCGATCACCACTCTTTTTTTTAAATAAAGTTCTTCTACACTTTGATTTTCTCCTGTATTGTAATGGCATTTAACACACATAAACTGCATATCTAAATGTATTCCCTTCCACCATCGGACAACCATACGTTCGGCCAGTCTCCACCCTTTCGTTTTTGACTTACCACGCAATCAAACTAAACGGTTCGCTACGTCGTTCATCATGCTTACAGCAAAGGAGTGGAATAAGTTGCCAGCATCTGTCTTTCCATCCGATTACAGTGTGGGTGTCTTCAAGACGAGTGAATAGGCTTTTGTTAAGTCAGTGCGCTTCACCATCTTAGGCTACATCACCACTTATCATCAGGTGGGATCGTAGATAAGCGCTGGCTTAGTAGAATATAAAGAAGAACTCTATAAAATAGATCAATATATTTAGGACAATGATGTGTGGAACTGACTTTTTCTCTGAACTTGCAAAGTTCTTGGCTGCTGACATTATTCTGAGCGGTCAGCTATCGCAGAGCGTATGCTCATGCAGCATGGAAATAGTTCCAGTGATGATGTCTCATTTAGAGGCGAAACACGTGTCATAATATCGAAGGTGATGTGTCCTTCCTAGTATGGTGGTATCAGGATTAGTGGTGATGGGGATAGTGCACGCAATTGAGGGGGGGGCGGGAGGCGGGATCTTCAAACTAGGTAAAACACATCATTTTATTGTATCGAGCGGATGTACGCAAGGTAATTTTACCAACTTTAATATAATGGATTTCCGCAAAGTAACGCCTGATTCTATTAATTATTTTCTGATAGATTATCGCAATTTTTACTGGAGACCTAAAAGAGTGCCCATAGTTGTTCCTTAAATCACTATAGAAATGTACAACATTTTCTAATTATCGTTTTAAAAGTCTTTTGGCCCTTTTTACTGGAAACGAGATATTCCATCTCAGTCTTAAGGGATGCTAACGCATTGCTCCTATAAACCACAGCAGTCACTTACCATCAGGTGGACTGTATGCTCGTTTGTCACCCTATCCTACAAAACAAAATATTTGTCACCATAGTCGCGCTCGTTAGTTGACCTTATGCAGGTGGAATGCAATTGACAAATAAACTCTGCCCATTATTACGGTACTTCAAATTATAAAAGGAATAAATTCCGAAATGTAGATATGTGGAGCATAAATTAATTCTCAACGTCGCTGCTTTCTGTTGTGCACACAGAACGTATTAGCGGAAATTATTTTCGAGTACACTGATATGTTTTACTGGAATATTTTATTTTTTTTTTTTTTTTTTATAGAATAGGGGGCAAACGAGCATGCGGCTCACCTGATGTTAAGTGACTACCGCCGCCCATGAACAACCGCAACACCAGGGGAATTGCAGATGCGTTGCCGGCCTTTTAGAAAGGTGTAAGCTCTTTTCTTGAAGGTTCCTAAGTCGTATCGGTTCGGAAAATTCGCTGGTGGTAATTGATTCCACAAAGAAGTTGTGCGAGGGAGAAAACTTCTTCTAAATCGCACAGTGGTGGACCGCCAATCATCCAGATGGTATGGATGGTAACGCGAGTTTTGTCGCGACGTGCGATGGTGAAATTGAGCGGCTGGAATTAGTCCGAACAATTCCTCAGAGCACTCCCCGTGATAGATGCGATAAAATACGCAAAGAGATGCAACATCTCTACGCAGTGCCAGTGTATCGAGCCGATCGGAAAGAACTCGGTCGTCGACGATTCGAATCGCTCTGCGCTGGATGCGGTCAAGTGGAAGGAGCTGGCACTGGGGTGCCCCGGCCCAGAGATGAGAACAGTATTCCATGTGGGGCCGAACTTGCGCTTTGTAAAGTTGCAAGCGATGTGCCGGCATGAAATACCGTCTCGCTCTGCTGAGCACGCCAAGCTTTTTAGAGGCCAATTTGGCCTTCCCTTCCAAGTGACCACGAAACTGCACGCTATTCGATATGTCGACGCCAAGGATTCCGATACTGGCTGAGGCAGCAAGGGGAGTGCCTTGAAACTGAGGGGATACGACAAAGGGGTTCTTTTTAGCGGTAAACGCGCAAACTTGTGTCTTCTGGGGATTGAACTGGACTAGATTTAGTCGGCCCCAATCCGAGACTTTGTTAAGCAAAAATTATTAATTATAAATTATTCGGGTATATAATCAAAAAACACGGATGTTAAGTACACACTGGAAACACTTATTTGTTCTACGGCTGGTCACTCGCTTACATACCTGTACTGAGATACGTACGTATCTTTGTACTTTAATCTTTGATCATCATCATCAACATTTCGTAGGTCCAGACCTGGGCCTGTTCCGTCGTAGAAAGAATTAGTCATAATCAGTCCACTTGGCGGATATTGAGATTAACCGAACTGGGTATCTTATGCCTGGCAGTAGCGCTATGTTTATGACATTATTCATATTATGTACTTTATTACTCGAGAATATTGTTTCCCCATCCGTTGTCGGTTCTTTGTGCTTTATGGCCGGCCCATAAGGAGATAGAAGTTAAATAATAGTGGAAATAAAATAATAATTAGAGTGTCACAGAATAGAATTTATAAAATTACATATATACATGTATATGTATGTATGCATAAACACTCACACCAGTCGGAGAGGTAGGTAGACACTACCGACTTCCTTTTGACACGATCTTGACACACTACTCTCGCCGCTTTTCTACCGACTTCAAAAAGAAGACGGCATTCAATTCGACTGCATGTTTTTTTTTTATGTGTTACCTCGTAACATTTTTCTGGGTGAACCGATTTCGATGATTCTTTTTTTATTTAAAAGCTGGTGCTTCTCATGTAGTCCCATATAAATTTGGTCAAAGTCTGACTAATAGTTTTTGAGTTATTCTTAATAATTTATATTGAAGTCGGTTGTTGAAAATTTTTAATTTTAAATAATACATCGATATAATTTAGGCCTTAAACCAAAGATCAATAATGCGATGAGATATACTCAAAAAAATATGAACGACTCTTCCATGCCTATATAAATCGATGTAAAGCGTTGTGTGCGGCGACGCGTTTAAACCAAGCTCACCATCTCGATCACGCTTTCCATTTACCTCCCTGTTGATTTCATACCATACTCTTGTTCACAACATGCTTAAGATCTGATTGTTTAAATAGCCGACAGACATAGGATTGTTAAGTAAATAAAGATTTTCCCTCCGTAGTCCTAATAATATATGTAAGATTGTTAAATAAAAAAAGACATTCCCATTGGAGATGTAAGTGTATAAGATTAAGGCAACGTAATAGTACTTTTAACTTAATTGAATCTCTTTAAATCTATCTAAATGTAACGCAAATAAATTATATTTTAATAAAAAAAACCTAAAAAAAAACACGCTTTGATGGTAAACCGAACTAAAAAGGTAAAAAAGCTCGATATATGTATCGATACCTTAATTGGCAAACCAGCCAACTCCACATTTGGTAAAAAAAATATTTTGGTATAAATTGTACGCAACAGTAGTTCGTCGTGATTTGCAAAAACGAGAACTTCGATATGATCACAATTTTTTCAATAAATCGCTATTAGAAAATCAGCTAACTCCGTGTGTCACGGAATGTTACAATTTTGACAGCCAACTCCACTAAGTCGGCCATTTTGTATGGCGTCCGAGTCGTGTACGGTTACCGCCCTACGTTTTGAGGAAGAAAATTATTAAAACCCGACAAAAGGAAAGGTAGTGTTGAAAAATAGTTGAACATTAATTCAAGGTATGGATACTTATTTACTTTTTCACAAAACAGTGCTAGTTAATAATGTAATTTTAAGATTTAATATTGCCTAGGAGTTGGCTGATTTGCTTCTTAATTTATCACACTAGTGTTGGGAGTTATCCATTTTTATGTTTATTAAAAATTAATTAAAATTTAAAGTTAAATTATTGTTACATTAATTTAATGTTTTTATTTCATTAATTTAATTTTAATATTATTATATAGTTTTACTTTTAAAGTTAAATTAATATCTTTTATCGTTTTCGGCTCTTTTTTATGCTTATGGTGATGTTTTTTTTTAATTTGTATGCAGATGTCCCACTCACGTGCTAAAAAAATACTGCAAATAAGCATGCAAAATGAACAGCATGAGCTTAATGAAACCAATAACTCTGTTTTGTTTGTTAATAACCAATTTCCAAATCCGTATGACGCTTTGGTTGGGCATGATAGCGTGGCTTCTAATTCTGCTTCATCGACTTTCTTTGATAATGGCAACATTGATTGTATTGAAAATGAAAAGCCTGGGGTAGAGTACATATATAACCCTAAATCGTTTGACAGTAAAAGTTTCGATAACCAAACATGCTTTAATACGCAGACATATGAAATAGTAAAGAATGTTGTTATTGAAGACATATTTCCGCTTGAAACAGAACAACTCAGTCCAAGTTCGCACACAGTTCAAGTTCGATCTCTTTGTCTTACGCCATCACTTATCTACAATTCTGAAAATGCCTCTAATAGTTTTGAACCATCTCAATCGTACCTCTCTACAAGTAATGATAAATCGGATGATGATTTGGCCGTTCCTTTGACACAAAAAAAACTAACAGCTCATGAAACTATACCTCCTAACTTACCTACCTACCTAACCTCAACTGCCTGTCCTGAATTAATAAATAAATTAGTCGATTACAGTGATACTGATTCAGAATCGGAAGAACCGGTTATAAAACGAAAGAAAAGGTGTCAAGTAAAGAAGGAAGAATGGACTAGTGAAATTAATATAAAGAATAGAGAAAAGGGTAAAGAATATTGCGGTAAAGAACAAGTTGATGGAGAGTGGAAAAAAAATATAAAGAAACCGAAAAAGGTGTTGAAGCCCCGGTGCAGTTGTAAGGAAAAGAGAAATAGTGTTATTCAGTGTCATAGTATTTCTGAAGATGACAGAAAAATATTATTTGATAAGTTTTGGAATATGACTTGGGATGAAAAACGAGTTTACCTTGATAATTTAGTAAAAAATTTACATACAAATAGGCAAAGAGATAGGAAAGACCCTCAAAAATCTAAAAGAGTTAACACTTTTATTTACCACCTAAAAAAAGGTGAGGATATGATAAGAGTCTGTAAAACATTATTTCTAAATACCTTTTCTATGGGTAAATCATGTATCTGGGGTTGGAAGGTTGAAGTTGCTGGAAAGAATACTGATGAACAATTACCAGAAACTACTCGCAGAAATCTATTTGACCAAGAAATTAAAACTTTACAGGACTTTTTAGATGACTTACCTAAAATGCCTTCACATTATTGTAGAAAAAGAACAACGCAGACATACATACAACCAGACATATCATCCAAACAGCAACTTTATAAAATGTATAGAGATCATTGTGAGTCAAAAAATAAAAAAACACTATCTATTGCCACTTTTACAAATACCCTAACCATACAAAAAATAGCTTTATTCAAACCGAAGAAAGATTTGTGTGACATCTGTAATGGATACAAGATGGGCCATATTACTAAAGAGACTTACGAAGAGCATGTAAATAAAAAGAACGAAGCGAGAATGGAAAAAGAATCTGATAAAGAAAAAAAGGAATTTGTCTTTACTGCAGATCTCCAAGCAGTGCTTTTAGCACCGCGACCCTATGTATCATCAAACTACTACAAAACTAAGCTGTGTGTTCACAACTGGTGTATTTATGACATGAAAACTAGCGATGGGTATTGCTTTCTATGGAATGAGGCCGAAGGTGGGCTTAATTCTGATGAGTTTGCAACGATTTTAACCAATTTCTTTATGAATAAAGTAGTCCCAAAAATGGGAGATAACAACAGATTCATAACTTTGTACACGGATGGGTGTACGTATCAAAATAGAAACGTCACTTTAAGCAATGCTCTCCTCAACATGGCTATGCTGAATAATGTTACAATTGAGCAAAAATATTTGGAACTAGGCCACACCCAAATGGAGGTTGACAGTATGCACGCAATGATTGAAAAAAAACTAAAAAATCAAGTGATTAATGTTCCAGCCGAGTACATTACCATTTGCAAGAATGCAAAAAAATCAAAACCGTATACAGTCGAATACCTAAACTATTCATACTTCAAGAATTTTAAAAATTTACCATTTTACACCTCCATAAGACCGGGAAAAATGAAGGGAGACCCTAAGGTACATAAATTACTTAAATTTTATTAATTATTATTGCTACTGTATGTGATCGATATGATAAGTTCTGTTTCTCTTTTCCAGGTTACCGATATACGAGCTCTTAAGTATGCACCCTCTGGAGAAATTTTTTATAAACTTAAATTAACTGATGAATATAAATTACTCAACCAACGCAGGAATGCCCGAATTAACAACATTCCTTTTAATAATATACCTAACCTATACAACGAACGCAGGAAAATTACAAAAAAAAAGTTCTTAGATTTACAGCAACTAAAGAACTCAATGCCCAGAGATTACCAAAACTATTATGACAACCTTCCTCATGAAGCCTAATATAGTGTACCTATACTTAACATTATTTAATTATTATTAAGTGTATTAACATATCTTGTAATTAAAATTTAAACAGAATAATAAACTTTTATTTAAAATTAATTTACCGAGCAAACCAGCTAACTCCTAGTTCACATACTTTAACAGGAAATGAAAAACGGATAACTCCTAAAAACGCTGTAGTATTGTAATGAAAACGTATAAAGGGTTTTACAGTATCAAAAATAATAATTTACGATAATATCTACGAACGGTGATTTAGATTTTTTCATAAGTAGTCTACAAAAAATATTATACAGTTTTAAGTGTCTCCTGAAAAACTTGCTCGTATGGAGTTAGCTGGTTTGCCAATTAAGGTATCGGTATATGTTGTTAAGAATATTTCATCGGTACGATTAGTATAAAGATATTGTGAAAAAAGCAGCCCACGCTTTTCACAATAATATTTATCTCGTCGTATTCTTATTTCTAAAACATATTTTTTCGTTTTTAATTCGGTTCTATATTAATGCGTGTTTTTAGTTTTATTTATTTTTGGAACCGTATTTTATTTTTCACTTTTTAATAATCCTGGTGATACTGTTCAGGATAATGGAACGATATTATCAAATTATTGTATTGCCATCGGTCCTTCATAAGTATGTAAAGTTTCGACGTTTGAAAGTGAGTGAAAATCAAATTTAGAAGAGTCGGTTACAAAACATACAAACATACACGTGAAGCTAATATGGCGCGTGTTAAAAACACAATTATTATATTTAAAAAAAAAAACTACATCCACCTACCGATATCCATACATCCATCCATCCATATGCTCGTCAGTGAAGAAAATCATCCAAAAAACAAATTGACATACATAGTAAGAGTGAACAGAGTCATCGCCCGCGGATCCGCGACCTCGGCTCAACGCGTAGACAAGCAGTCTAATTGTCAGTTGTCACCCCTCGCTCTCAGAGCGATTAAATGACAAAGCTTTTAACGGAAAGAAAATATATACAGATACTGCTTTTTGTGGCGATGTTGTTTGTTAATATGCCTCGAGGTGTTTACCGCAGTAACATTCCTGTTGAAGAGCTTCTCATGTAACATTGTTTTAACTTATAATAAAGTATAATGAGAAATGGTAACTCCGCTCAATGTGAAAGTTCAAAGTACGCGATCAGCTTCTTGATCAGATCAGAAATTTGTTCTGATATGAGCAGTTTACAAGCTACTTTAGAGTCCAGAGCTGGACGCAGGCTGTTACCAATGTTTTATGTGTGTTAACGTGAGGACCACTGGGGTATACTACTGAATATGTATTACGTACAAAAGAGACACCAAGATTTGGTTGTTTGCAACATGTGTTAGGCTAAAACTTACTTAGTCTGTACTCAAACTTATTTAGAAAAATGATGAGTCTTACCTAGTTTAAAGAGCACCTCCCCCTTTCCCTCAATTGCGTGCACTATCCCCGTTATAACTAATCCTAACACCACCACACTAGGAAGGACATGCCACCGTCGATATTATGACACGTATTTCGCCTCTAAATGCGACATCATAAGGAGAAATAGGCTCTGCGATAGCTGATCGCTCAGAATGATGTGTAATGAGTTTAGAGAAAAAGTTAGTTCCACACATCACTGTACTAAATAAATTTATCTATATTATAGAGTTAGCTATTTTTTTTTAAAATCCTCAAATAATTCTTAAAGTTTGTATCCGATTGTTGCACTATGTTTATAGGCATTTGATTGTAAAATTTTATTGATATACAGTAGAACCCCGGTGACCCGGCCCCTGTCTAATCCGGCACCCCCTGTAATCCGACATGGTCTATTATTTATTATTAAATATTTTTTGACAATCTTCACAAATGCATGATTGAACAAGTTATAACCCATTATAACCCGTACGCACCACTACTATTGTACTCGACGTGTAGGGTATTGTTTTGAATTTTAATTTACTAAATTTGACATACATAATGAAGTATAATTTGTACTTCAGAGTACATATATATAACATATAGAATCTTATCATTGGATCTGGAATTTGTCGGATTACAAGGTACTCTTTTATAAAAAAATTCCGGACTATAATTCAAAATCATTCCAAAAAAAAATTAAAATTCCGGGTCTATAGGCAGTACTCTATAATCCGACGAATTCGATAGTCCGACACTGCCCTGCAAAATGTTTGTCGGATTACCGGTGGTCCACTATACTCAAAAAAGACTTTGCAGTTTTAGCCAATCTAAATTTTGGAACCTCTAGTCTAGAGCATCACCGCGACACGTTCTACAGGAGATTGATTGACTTGATGGCCTGTCTAAATTTTACAAGGAAATAATTACTGTGGGCTGTTTTCGTTGATTTCTGGATTTCGATAACAGTGACACCTACCTCCAGTTAGACCTACCGGGTCTAACTATAGCAAAGTACCATACAGGTCCAGGTGAGCCCATAATTACCCCACACATTTTTTATCAAAAGCCGTTTAGGAGGAGAAGCATTACGAACACACGCACACCGAATTTTTATAAATAAAGATTAAAGCGAATGATTTAATGTGGTATATACCACAAGCGGTTTCGATATTTTATAAGTAATTAACGCAGGTAATTGACGAATTGTGCAACAAGGTCGTTGAATTTTTTATATTTACGCGAACACTACACATTGAATAAGACTACTTTTATGGATTTTATTGCGTTTAATTGTTCTTATTTTTAATTCCCGACGTTTCGAGTACTTTCCTGCACCCGTGGTAACGGGGGACTGATGCGATTGACGTCCCGATGTAAAAGTTAACCGGAATACCTTCAGCTTTTTAATTATTTGTTTTGGGACGATCTACGCAGAATGAACTTAGTGTGTCTTGAAATCTTGCAATGGTATGCTTTGGTTCAGTTTTAATTTTATTAATTAAAAGATCCCAAGCAGGGATGCTGGGTTCTACCACCAAATAAATTTCATAGTTGATGATGGTGGTGGGAATTCTACCCTTCTCCCTCAACTACATCCCCGTGCCATACTCTTCTGTTTATGAGCAGCACTTTACTCGAATCTTTAACTTCAAGCCTCGAGCCATCGTTATCCGACATCAAACGGATTTCGACCGATTCGGTTACTTAACGCGGTCGTCACACCGCTATCTTTGACACGGGGCTAGCACCCTCACTTGACACCCGCCTACACTTCGAGTGAGCTGTAGTGGCAACGGTTCCTCCTATCTTTTAAAATATACAAACGATAAAATAAACTGACTATAATATACATATACAATTATCTAACTTCTCACTCAATTATGTCAGTGTATTTAGGAAGTGTATTTAGCAGGGGTGATAGACTAAACAAGAATATAGAACCAAGCGTGGATACAGGATACCCTAAATGTAGTAAATATCAATAAAGTCAAATATGGCAAAACACAGGCGCTGCGAAGAGATGTTGCATCTTCTTGCATTTTCTATCGCATTTAATTCTAATTAATTCAAGTTAATTATACCTTCCACGCCATCTGAATGCTTGGCGGAATACCACTGTGTGATATTCTTTTTTTTATGGTATAAGGATGACAAACGAGCACACAGTCCACCTAATGGTAAGTAGTAGACATCTACATCTATCCTCAATTAAGAATCAAAAAGCAGATGCGTTGTCAGCCGTGAGGGCTAAAATGGTATGCCTCATTTCCAATAAAAAGGGTCTCCGGTTCTCTACACTCACCATACCAAACACAGAAGCGTTAAGCAGGTATTTTGTGAGAGCGTGGTCCTTGCTCAGTTGAGCCGATCCATTCGTGCTACAACTATATAATTATATAGCTGCAGCATGGCTCTACCACGTAAAAAAGTACTACACATTCTTGGAGTTTTCTTTCACGTATGGCTTTTATAGAATCGGGTACAATCGGAGATTTTTCTTGACCGATACGACTTAGGGACCTACAAGAAACGGGCTTAGTCCTTTTTAAAAGGCCGGTAAAGCAACTGCAATTCTCCTAGTGTTGCAGTTGTTCATAGGTTGCGGTCGACACTTACCATCAGGTGAGCCGCATGCTCATTTGCCCACTACTCTATATAAAAATTTAAATAAATAGTTGTTTTTTATTACACCACTAAACTTTTTAAACACCAGTCATTAAAATAAACAGATATGAGGAGCTTCAACGTATCACTAGCTTCATGAATCAATGGATCAAAGTATCTCTATCATAAAGGCCATAGTACATCAAGGTAAAAAATTTATATTTAATTTTGTCACCGATACACTGCCGCTATGCTGGTTTGTTGAAATCATTTTTCATAGCAAATGTGATGAACTAAATACAGAGTGAACGCTTTGCGCGCAAAACTGTAAGTGGGTGGTAAAACTATATGTAAAGTTTTCGGACTTTATTTTCTTGACACAATTATCAGTATATTTTTTAACAGGAAAAATGGCAAGCGAGCTCACAAATATGAGGCCCATGGGCATATGTCTTTGGAAAGATCATCTCTACCCTTGATAAACAATTAAAATGCTGTCTTATGACCCCTGAGAAGAACGATGCCTTCACGTCCCTCACCATATAAAATTTGCAGTTTTAGTGCACACAGAGAAAGGTGACCTCTTGCAATCATAATCATAATCATTAAATAAACTGTAACGATAATGAATTTGGCAACAATTGCAGTTTTAATCGGGACTTACGCAACTTCAGTACAGCTCGTATTGAAAACGTGATAGAATGGCTCTCCAGCACCTTAAAACGACAAGTCCCCGAGTGAGGATGGAATTACAGCGGAGCTTCTGAAAGCGGGTGGAAAACTAATACTTAAAGTCCTTCACAAGCTCTTTAATTCCGTCCTTCATTGTGACACCACATAGTGAAGCAGAAGTGCAGTGATCTTATTTTTCAAGAAAGGCTACTACGTGCTGTTTTCGAGAGTCATTACGAATTGTCTCGCGCAGACTCGACGAATTCCAGCCTCTCGAACAATCCGGTCTCCGAAAAGGCTTTAGCACCATAGA